AGTTGCGCATCGACCTCTTGGTCCTTCTTCCCCTTCATGTTCTTGGCTTTCAGCTCTTGAATATTTTTTGAAATGCAATGAAGCTGTTGATGGCATCGTATTTGCTTTGAAAAAGGGATGCATTGAAATACTCACTCTTTCATCAGCAACGTTTTACTCTATTCAACCACTTCAAAGTTGTATTCATCCTGGGAGAGAGGAGAGAGGTGTCAGAGATTTTCGAGGTTTCATAATGCTGCGTTGGGACTTTATTGCATCCGCTAACTCCACCCCCACCATGGTATCTGGAATATAACAAAACTGCTGCAGTATTCAACTCAAGAACAAATCCAAATGATCTTACGAATGCGAAGAAAACAGCAAAAGAATACAAATATCGAAGAATCCTTAGATAGAAAAGGAAAGGTTCATTTTCATTGAGCCATAAAAGAGAAAAAGTTGGAAACGGAGTCGCAAGTCAAAGAGAATAAGTTGCGCTCAACTGTACTCCAGTACCAGGTTATGACAGTTGCACAGATTTTTACGTTATGCACGTGTTAAAGAAAATTAAAATTGATTCAGGAACCAAAAGATTTTTCAATAGCTAGTCATCAGTTCCTGTCAAGAAAGTTAAAGTACCACAACTCTGACCTGCATAGCCAAATTCAATGCGCAAAGGGCAAGTTTAAAATTACTTAGCACCAGGGCGTGGTTACGTAACACGTAACGTGACATTGGTACTAGAGAAACAAGCACAGACGTTTTTTTATACGTGATGTTTCTACAATAACGTTTCTAATTCCGTTTTTTAACAAACGGTTTGACATCATAACGATAACTGTGGTTGTCAGAAAAACGTTTTTTCGTAAATTCTTTGGGGAACAAAACTTTAAATTAAGGAACGTCTTAGCGTTAGTATTCTGGAAAACGTTTTAGCGTTTAGAGCCGACAAGCTTGGCCGGGGCAAATCAGTTTTATGTCTGTCTGGCATACATGGATGTAGAATTACAGTGGCCACTCGCATAGTCGCGCCTCTCATAGCTGCGCTAAGCTCTACTAGCCTTACCCCACTGCTCACCGCCATACACTGCTGGCGTGGATTCTGATTGTTCTGTGATTACTGTTCAACAGCTTTGAAGCTAAATAACACATCCAGCACTGTGGCTTCATCCTTTGGCCGGCCATTCACCGGGGATGGGGGTCCCTCGCATAGCCGCGCCGGCAGGAGAACCGTGCGGCGCGGACATGCGAGTGGCCACTGTACCTTAACACCATTCTGGCATACCTGTGTGTGTGCGGGGAGAGGGGGGGGGCGTACTGTGGCTTTTCTGTATTTGCCTGTAAGGCAACATTGCCTATGGTCCCCGTGCGTGGGAAGGCAAACCTACTCGCATCGGCTCTGCCTCAGCGAAACTCAAGGTACAGTAGTAAGCTCTCATGTAGTTGGCACCACACTGTAAATTGCTTACGAACAATAGGTTCGTAATTCAAACCAAAACGTTCGTAGCTTACGAAGGATTTTGAAGTGTTTTATTACGAACTAATTGTTCGTAAGCTTACGAACAAATAGTTCGTAATCCAAACTGATTGTTCGTAAGACCCTGTCCAGCCTTACAAACAAACGCTATGCAATACGAACATTTTTTTTTTTTTTTGCAATTAAAAGAAAGAAAATTGTTCCTAACGTTGCAAAGTATTTAGTTCGTAAGCTTTTTACAGTGCACTATCGCTAGTGAAGGCCACAATATTCTTAGCAAATAGGCGGAAACGCTTGAGGATTCGAAGAATTGAGTCTTTAAGATACTCGGCAGAATTTGACGTAAACACCTCTTCAACATCAAACGGCCTCACTTAAATTTTGCCATCCTTGGCATATTGAATGACTACCTCCGGTATGTGGCGCTGCTTTTTACAGCACCCTTCTACTTGCAGTGAAACCATTCTTCCTTGCAACTCTTCTGCTTGTCAGCCAGGGGAGTAATTTTCACTGTTAAAAAAAAAGTCTGAAAATTCAGACTTTTTGGTAGGAAGCAAAATTACATACTAAACGTCTGAAAATTCAGACTGTTCTGTCTGAATTTGTTGGTATGAATTTTCAGTTATCTTAGTCTGAATAGCAATTTCATAACTTTAGTCTGAATTCCAGATCTTTATTTAAAATGAAGTTTTCTTTTCTTCCCCTTCAAGTTGGATTGTATTCTAAGTAATTAGATATGAATTTGTTATTGTGTACCTTACCTACCTACCCGGAGTCGAACCTCGGACCTTTGGATTGGTAATCTCTCATCCTTGACCACACGGCCACGACGACAAGACTAAAGGATCACCGAGGGCTACCTGCCTGTTCCTACAGGTGTGCTCCCGGGACTAAACTAAATATTCATTCTTTTCTTGTCTTAATTTCAGACTCAGACCTCTTCGTCTAAATAAATACTCTGAATTTTCAAATTTTCTTTACTGAACTCTTAATTCAGACCTACAGCTATGAAGTTTTAGACGTTCACCTCTGTCCTCCTCCACCTCCCGGTTAAAGGCGGCCTCGTCCTCCAGCCGGTTGAAAACTAGCCTGTATGACTCGAGAGCAGTTAGGCTCTCCCGTAGAGCGGCGGCGTTTGCGGCGCTGCCCCCGGACGAAGGGGGAGTGAAGCCTCCCAAGGTCTCCGACTCATTCCCTGTCATTAGCATTATGTTCTCAGACCAGCCTCGCCATCCATCCATAAGTACCACAGGGCTTGCAGGGATACTAACCAGAGAGAGGATCCGACTCGGGCGACGACACCAGCTCTGGATCCTGGAGAAGGACGTCCGCGGACAACGAACTAGACCGCAGTGCCAGTCCGGGAACATCGGGCAGGCTGTCAGCTTCGCCGTCGCTCTCGCCTGCAAAGGAACAGGCATTAAGACAACGGGCAAGGACGTCAGGACAAGCAAGGTCAGGTAGGGCGGAAACTTTCTTACTGGTTGTCTCGGCAGGAAGAATCCGCTTCCAAGGGCGTATCGGGGCAGCTCGACCCGGAGAGGGACCTGGAAAGGCGCTGCTGACGGTGTCCGAAGAGGTGTATAGTTTCCTATACAGTGCTGCATGCTGATGTCCTTATGGTGGAGGCCTCCCTGTTCGGTATGCTTTTCACCATTGTCACAGCACACATCCCTTCGGACGGATCACCGGGACAACGGTCGGCGTCAGAGTCCCTAGCAGCAGCAGTCGCAGTCATCCCGCCGGACCGCTGGCGCCTGGTACTTGGTGACTTCAATGGCCATATTGGTAAGCGGGATAGACACGAGTATCGGCAGTGGTTGGGGCCGCCCGAGAAGCTCCACCATGAGGACTCCAACCACGCTGGCACTGCCGTGCTCCAACTGGCCAAGCTCAATCAACTCAGGATAGTTACCACCTCGCCATACGCCAGGGGCTGTGAGACCAGACCACCTGGAAGGTCGGAGGACTGCGGAGAGTAGCCGGGGAGAGAATTTCTCAACTGGACCACATTCTGACCGACTTCGCCTCCATCAAGCGGGTCAAGGCGGACTTCTCGCTCCACCACCACTCGGACCATAAGCTGCTCACTATTTCTCTAGCTCGAGAACGTCCAGGTGGCGCCCCATATGTTAGGAGGGTCCCGCAGGTCATCCCACAGGGATGTAGAAGAACAAAAACGGAAGTTTGAAAGGCACCCGCA